GTCTTCAATGGTTAATTTTAATTGTTTAAGTTTTAATAAAAAATCAAAAATCAAAATTTGCAATCATTTCTTTTAGTATAGTCGGATGATAGATACTATACAATAAAAGATAATCTTACTTTTTTTCAAATTCTTCTTTATCCATCATAAAGTTTAAAACTCAAACTTTTAATTATTAAGATGTTATCCAGTGAATATTATTTTGAGATTTTAAGTTTGATTTTATCATGTGTAGAGTTAATTTAACATTATACTGATGTTTAATTTCATTTAACAATAATTGATTTACATTGTTGGCATATAATGTAGCAGTGGCTACGTGAAAAACTCCTTTTTAGTATCACATTCAAATCAGTCGTTTTACATATTGTACTAAGTTAAATACATATAATTTAAATTTATGATTAAAAATATATATAATTTTATCATCAGATCATAAATTAACTCTCTTTTATTTTTTTATTATTGTTATTATTATTATAATATATATTTTTTAGCTTAAAACGAAATTTGTACTAAAAAAGTGGCAAAAACACTCCGACAAATGCAAAACTCGAGAAAGGAGAGTCCTAAACACCTTGCAGCACATCCCGGACAAGGAAGCTCTTCAATAGTTTGGGCATTGTTTCAAACAGTGAAGAACAAAGGCAAGATAGCTTACTTTTATATTCAATCTACATGTTTCTTTGTTATATACACGAGAATTTTATAATCAATGCATTTTGCAAAAGGAAAAGAGAAAATACCAGATAATTATGAGTTAACTTTTTTTAGGTGGGAAGTTCATTTTACAGGATTCTTTTACTGATATATTTGCAAAATTAGCTTCCTCCAGATTCTTCTTCTTCTTCTTCCATTGTTGAACTGGGATTACATCCTATGTGTAACCCTATACATTCATCACGTCTCCTTCCATCTTGTTGGATCAACGTCTCCATCAACTGATCACTTTCTGAAGTCACAGCATTGGTTGCTAATGCACCTCTGCGTGACTCTTCCAACACTTGAAAATAAGCATAAGGTCCCCAACCTGCAATCATAACATGCAGAGAAAATTATGCTGTTCTTTGTTTGGGAAAAAACATTTTTGAATCTAAAATCAGTGTAAATGAAAATAGAGATTGTTGGGAGCTTACACTCAGCATGGTATGGTGGAGGGAAGAATTGCAGGTAGCAAAATGTAGCCACTATGATACCTGCAAAAGATGGTTTTCGTGAGAGGTGGAAAAGATTTGAGTCTCAAATGATACTGAAACAAAAAAATTACCGCGGGTACAACCTAGGAGACCTCCAGCGAAGACATCCTGCCAGTGATGCCAGTAGTCATCCACTCGGGAAATGCCAACAAGTGAGGCAACAAGTAGAGGGAGGAAGACGATGCATAGTTTTGCAATATGGCCTCTGCGGTCAAATGCTTTGATTTTTCCAGACAAGTAAAGTGACAGAAAACCGAGACCAGCAAAAGACCCTGAAGATGAAGATTGATTATCCAAAAAGCTTAACACAGGCAAGTTCAGCAGGCAGAGTGTCCTTCCTGAATCATGAGAGATGTGTTGACTCCAAATGTAAAGAGGAACTTACATGAGGTATGCCCACTAGGAAAACTCTTGTGCCCTTCCTTGATGACATTTTTATCACCATGACATATGACATTTCCCCATTGATCATAAACCTAAGAAGCAATTGGTTCAGACAGAATTCCACAATCTACAAATTGACAAGACAAAATTTCATAGAGGAAATACATATTGGGGAATTATGGCCTCGTTATAGCTGGTGAGAAGAAGCATACATCCTTTCCATCAGGAAAACAGCGCCAGAAAAAGTCTGGCCGTGGCCTGCCAACTGCATTCTTTATGGAATCTGTAATGACTGCTGTCACTAGGACAGAAAATAAGAGGCCTGCGCTAGCAAACAGAAGTTCTCTTAGGAATTAAAATTATAATGAGATTCTTCTCCAGCTAATTTACAAGAAAATGTTGCTGCTAAAACAGTAAAGATAACATTGTCACCTAGTATGGCATGGTGAAGATCATAGACATCCCTCCTATGGAAATACACGATAAGGAAAATCACCATTGGCAGCAGAATTGCATATACCTGATTATAGAGGATGCAGAGAGAAAGAGAGTATTTTTATTCAAATTTGTAAAATCTTGAGAACACCATTTTTCTTTTGGCAAAGCTAAAAGGCTAGGACTTTATTCAATAATCAAATGCAGAGGAAGGAGAAGGAAATTTACTGGAACAACCCAAACAGGCACTGTGTTACTTTTTAAGGGGTACTTCAGATCAACCATCATATCCTTCCCAACAAAGCGATAAAATGGATGGATGACATACAAAATGACCTCTATCACCACAAGTAACAGAAGAATAAGCCAATCATGCATATGTTTCTTTGCAACTGTGACTCCATGGGACCTCAAAGTATGTGAACCAAGTGAGACTTCCCTCGTATTATGCTGTTTAACATACATAAACATAAAAAGAAGATTCAGATTAAATGGATATCAAAGTATTCAGTTCCTTTGTAAGCATGTAAGGAAGGCAAATTATGACCACAGCCACCAATAGGACACAAAATCCCATTAGGGCCATGACTTGACACCCTAATGTACATCATTATGCAATTTATTTAGGATCATGACTAGCTTCTGCAAGACTACGATAAACCAATTCTTTAACCACAATATCGCCATCTCCCTGAGAAAAGAGTTTATGAAAGAAAGAAATTGAATAATATTTCAAACAAGAAGACATTTACAGAGTAGAGTTACCAGCCTGCTATGTTTAGAATGTCCAAATTTAATATTAGGGCCAAAGAATCACTCATCCTAATAGAGGTGAACTTAGAAAAGATGAGATACCTCCTCTTTACTGTGTTCTATCAGTGGACAGTCAATGGATGAAAACAAATCACAATCATTTGCAGAAATCTCCAGCCCCTGGCCTGACACAGCCTAGATAATTCCATTAAAGCAATCTTCAGTGATGAAATGTGAAAATTCTATAAACCTTGAGACAGAAAGCTTCATGTTCAGGTATATGGTTTGGTTTGTATATAACTTCTTGAAAGTTAACGAGTTTAATTGAAGATAACAAGGACAACCAAGAAAAATCCATAGACATTGGGCATAGATTAAAGCAGTTATTTTTTCAATACAAAAATGAAAAGAAGAAAATAAATCAAACCAACGAATGAATAAGAGATACTGAAACTACAAATATTGTTGCCATATCCCTATATAGCATAGATGTAACATACCATCGGTGAACACATTTCATCAGCAAAACCCCAAACATGTTTATAATTAGGATTGTGGCACTAAGGCAGTGGTTATCAAACCTAATTGGAAAAACAGAATGAGGACAGAGTAGACAAAAAGCATCTTCAATTCAACCACATGTATAACTCTTTCCATAGAAAGAATCAGTTTTCTTCAGTCAGATGTCAGTGCATCAGTAGAATCACATGAAAAATGCTCAAAACAATGGTCATTTATTATAAAAAAAAAAAAGGTTAAGAGAATTGAAGACTGAATTACACCCAAATGAGCAATTGAGAAAACCATTGCTCAGCATCAGTTGCTTCAACATAAATAGACGTAAAGCAAGATACCACAGTATCAACAACAGCAGGCAAAGTGCAAATGGAAAGATCCGTTCTTTATGATTTAAAAAGCAAGGAAGGCAACGCATACACCAATCACATACATTACTCGCCCTCTAAAACATGTAAACCAAAGAGCCAGGAGCAATTAATCAAAATCTGAGAAAAAAAAAAAAAGAAGAAGGAAAGAAACAAAAGAATACCCAAAATCAGATCTTTATTTCTTTTTTGCATTCTCATATGAATTGCATCAAAGATCAAATTAACAGAATATAAATTGAGGGATCTAGAAGCAATAGACCCACTAACCTGAGAAATGCCCCTGAAATTCCTAAACCAAGAAAGAAAGTTCAAACCCCAAGAAGGCATTGTATTAACCAATCACATATACCACAGTCAAAAGAAAGAGTAATGCAAGTGATATTGAAGTTTCTTAGTACTAGAGATATCCCAGAATGTAGAAGAGCAGAAGAAGCCAAAACAGAGGGGAAGGTCCGAGTTCATGTTGTTCACACAAAAGTAAATCCAGTGGATCCTTATCCTTAATAATTGAGAGAAGACGAAGTATTAGTGGTAAAACTGGGAAGGGAAGTAATATGGAAAATGATAAAAGGAACTGAATTGGGGGAATATTCAAAGGTTAAATGCTAAATTTAGTCCCTCAACTTTACAAAATGAACATTTTTGATCCCTTAATAATTTTTTGCATTTTTTGATCCCTTAACTCTAAAAATTGCACAATTTTAGTCCCTCTATTAGTCAAGTATGATGTGGCAGTCAAATAATTTCATGTGGCATTGTTTTTTAATTTTTTTGATGATGTGGCACTAATATATATTATAATTATGTTATATAAATAAATAAAAATACCATATATATTAATATATATATTTTAATTAAAAACACATAAAATGAGCTTATTACCCTCATCCTCACACTCACCCTCCCAATCCCTCTTCTTCCCCTTCTTTTTATCTCTTTCTTTCTTTCGGGTTCGGTGGAAATCCAGCCTTGCTGGGTTCGTCGACCAGCCAAGGCTAGGTTCCGATGAACCCAGCAGATCTGGGTTTCGACGAAACCAGCAAGGCTGGGTTCGATTGAAACCCAGCAAGGTTGGGTTCGGTGGAAACCCAGCCTTGCTGGGGTTCGTGACCAACCAAGGCTAGGTTCACCAGAACCCAACCAAGGCTGGGTTCGATTGAAACCCAGCAAGGCTGGGTTCGGTGGAAACCCAGCAAGGCTGGGTTCGGTGGAAACCCAGCAAGGCTGGGTTCGGTGGAAACCCAGC